CATTTCTGTTTTTCTGGATGCTCTTCTTTCTTCTAGAGTCTGGCATTTAAGGCTGATCTTCTTTTTTTTTGAATTATATACAGTCAATAGTAGCATAGAAAATCTAGTTTTTGTTTTATCTATAACTGATTTGATTTTGATTCAACTGAATATAGATCGTGCTTATGTAAGTTAATCTGTAAGCGGGCAGTAGCAGCCAAATTGACTAAATTTTGTAATGACTAAAATCCAATTACCACTCTAATAAATTGCACAAACCATAATTCAGCCTACTTTGTTTCGATACACACCGCACTTATGCTACCACATCTAGTTAATCATTTTTCAACCTTTAGATTTGTAAAACGCTGTGGTTGCAGAAATTAATGCAACTTGATTTGTCTTCATTCTATTTTTTTCCATATAAAAATACACTTGTGATATTGCTGTTTAGCTATGCCACATTAGCTGTCGAAATGGGTGGCTACGCGGTGCGCAAGATTCATGAAGAGAATAGTGAGTACTGCAGAATTTCTTCAAGCAGTTTATCTAATTTTTTTTCTTTTATAGAGCTAAATATTGCACAGAAAGGATTAACAGATGAAGGAAAAGCAGAATTACTGACCAAAGCAGATTTGGTTTCGAACTTTCTCATCTTAGATGTCTTGCAGCGATTTCCTCGATTGAAGGTCATAACTCTTTGTTTAGTTTCACTTACCTGTTCCATGTATGTTGTTTAGGTGGTGACCGAGGAAAAAGATACTTCCATTAGCGAAAAGGATGCTGCACCTTATCGAGCGGATTCTTACTCTGTATGGTTGTCAATCCGCGACATTCTGGCGAAAATCCCATCATATCGTTTAACTCTGTCTGATGTTCAGATGTACGTTGATCCACTAGACGCAACGCAAGAGTACACAGGTAGAAAACTTCCTGAACAAACTGAAGTTAGTTTGACATTTACTTCTCTTCAGAGGGATTGACCGAGTATGTGACAGTAATGGCGTGCATCACGTTAAAGGACGAGCCAATATTTGGCGCAATTTTCAGGCCATTCACTAATGAAACAAGTAAGTGTGACTTCC